TAGCACGAGGCCGTATTATCTACTGTTTAAGCTGCTAGCTGTTAGCATGAGGCTGTATTATCTACTGTTTAAGCTGCTAGCTGTTAGCACGAGGCCGTGTTATCTACTGTTTAAGCTGCTAGCTGTTAGCATGAGGCTGTATTATCTACTGTTTAAGCTGTTAGCACGAGGCCGTATTATCTACTGTTTAAGCTGCTAGCTGTTAGCACGAGGCTGTATTATCTACTGTTTAAGCTGCTAGCTGTTAGCATGAGGCTGTATTATCTACTGTTTAAGCTGCTAGCTGTTAGCATGAGGCTGTATTATCTACTGTTTAAGCTGCTAGCTGTTAGCACAAGGCCGTATAATCTACTGTTTAAGCTGCTAGCTGTTAGCACGAGGCCGTATTATCTACTGTTTAAGCTGCAAGCTGTTAGCATGAGGCTGTATTATCTACTGTTTAAGCTGCTAGCTGTTAGCATGAGGCTGTATTATCTACTGAACTACATATCCACAAAGGTGATGCTGCGTTCAAGACTACTGAAAAACTGGGAAATCCGATCGTCAAAAGACTTGAGTTCTACTTGTTCTAGCTCTACGTTAAAACGCAACTGCTCACGTTAACAGTACTGGAGTAAAAATGTTGATTTTGTTCAGATTAAATCTAAAACTTTTCGTTTTCTTTTCCTCTGGAGAAATAAGTTGTTCCGGTAGTTTCTCCACAAGAAGGAAATGTTGTTTCTTGTGGAGAATTCTTCCTCATGAATCTTCCACGTGATAAATAATCAACTCCTTTCAGGTTTAACAAAATGAACGTTTTGACTCCAGTAACATTCACGTGAGCGTTTGGCTTTAAAGTAGATCTTAAATGAGTAGAACTCAGTCTGGTGACGCTCAGATGTCCCAGCTTTTCAGCAGCATTGAACGCAGCATCACTTTGTGGATCTGGAGGTAAGAACGTCTCAGAAGTCACGTTTTGTAAACATTTGTGGCTAGAGATTAATGATCTTCATCGGTTTGTAGCAGAATATTAAATTAACAATCGTTTTAAATATTTTTTGTTTCTGCAGAAGAAACCCCGATGACGAACTGAAACAAATCCTCCTCCACTGAAATGGACGTTTGATCTGGTCTTCTGAAGAAGAGGTTCTGATAGTTTGGTGTCGTGTTGGACCGGTTCTCATGGACCTGTTCTGATAGACCGGTTCTGATGGCACTGAAGCTTCGATGTTCGTCAACAGGAAGCAGCTTCTCACCCTCTGAGGTCGTCTCTGTTACAAAAAGCTTTTAGTTTTTAATAAAAACATTAACGTCAACGTCTTCCTGTTCACCTCTTCAGACAGCCCGACCGGACCAGAACTTTAGCTGCAGGTGAAACCGGACCTCCTAAAGTTCTGCTCAGACGGGCTTTCAGTGGATCTGGTCTCTTCACTGGAGACGTTTAATCAGAGTTTGTCTCCATTGGGCGTGCCAAGTCATTGAGCCATCATGTTTCTTGTGGTGTGCCCCAGGGATCAGTCCTGGGACCCCTTCTTTTCAACTTGTACATGGTACCACTTGGGTGTATTATCAGCAGCTACGGGGTCTCATTCCATTGCTATGCTGATGATACTCGGCTGTATCTTAAGCTGGGTAGCAATGTGTCCGAGACCCCATCTACACCATCTTCTGCACTTTCTTCTCTTTCCACGCTCACAGCTTGTCTGGAGGAGATGAAGGAATGGATGCAGCAAAATTTCCTTCACCTTAACAGTTCAAAAACGGAAGCAATTCAAATTGGTACTTCACACCAAATTCAACAACAAAAAATCCTCAGTATCTCTTTCTGTGGCCAGAACATTTCTCTTTCCAGTACAGTCACCAGTCTTGGTGTTATTTTTGATCCACAACTCACCTTTGAAAGCCAAATAAAGCAGATCTGTAAAACTTCTTGTTTTCATCTTCGAAATATTGCAAAGCTTCGGTCTACACTGTCCTTCACCGATGCAGAAAAGCTCGTCCATGCCTTTGTCTCCTCCAGACTGGACTACTGCACTCCTCATTGGGATTCCTGGCATGAACATACACTCCAGTACGTCCAGAGCAGCGCTGCCAGGGTCCTGATGAGAGCACATCACCCCCGTACTCCGGTCACTTCACTAGCTTCCTATCCGAGGGCTCCACAGACCGGGACATGTTTTAAAAAGGGTCTTAAAACCTTTTTTTTACCCAGTTTTTTAATTGATTGCACTGTACTTTTTATTTTATTTTTAATTCACCCGTAGTTCTCATTTGAGTATTTTATCTGCATTTTGTGCATTTAAAGTTTTTGTTGACGTGTTCACTCTGAGGCGTTCTCCTCCTGGTTGTTTTGCTCTCCTGCTGCTCTGATGCTCACTCTTTGTAGCACTTCGAGATTCACTGTGAATGTAAAGTGCATTATAAATAAAAGTTATTATTATTATTAATCTGTAATCTGCAGCTTGTTCCCCGTCGCCCGGTTCTGAGCCCCGCCTCGGGTCCGACAGAACCAGTTCAGCTGCAGCTGACTCGAGCAGCCAGAGGCCCGTTTGGACTCGGGGTTTGTTTTTACAGGAACCTGCTGAGTTGAAGAGTTCTGCAGGTCCTGGCTCACGCTGGTTCTGGACCTCGGACCTTTTCCCCTGCGGCTCTGACCCGGTTCGTTTAGTCCAGGACAGATAACCTGGAGCGAGCTCAGACGATGACGTCGTGTTCTGGAACGGATTTTTCTTTTTTAACCTTTGTTTTAAACATTTGATGAGTTTTTATATTTTTAACGTCTTTTTGTTCACGTTGAATAAAATCTGCAGCTCCAACACCAGAACAGCAGCGTCTGGTTCCCGAGTCCTGGACAGTCCGTTACTTTCAGGGTCCTCCCCGGGGTCTCCTCCCTAGGGAGGCGTCCAGATGAACCAGCTCAGCAGTTTGAGTCAAAACAAACCAACAACATTTTTTATTGTTGTTTATTTTCCTCTTGATTCAAATATAAACATCAGATTTCCTCAAACGAACGTCGTCAGAATAAAAAGTTCCTGTTAAAAAATTAAAAAGTGACAATCTGCTGAAATCAGCTTCCTACGATCCGTTACATTCAACGGCCCGGTTCTGTCAGAACGTCGGACCTTCGTCTTCCGTCCGCGTTAAATAAAAAAGGACTTCTGTTGGAAAACGATAAAACGTTCTGCGTTAAAACTAACCAGCATCACGTGGTCTGATCGGACTGAACCGGATCCGATCAGACCGGATTGCGTCGTGCGTTCGGCTCGTTGAAAGTTAGCGTCGAGCGCTGCGCTCGGCCGTCTACGAGTTTTCTCTGTAAACAAGATTATTTTTAACTTCCTGTGCTCAATCAGTTCACAGCTAAAACCAAAAACAGCTAAAGTTCTCCTATGTTAGCACTTGGCGTCTTTGCCGTTCGACAGAGGTTCTGCCTCCGACACCGGGCTCAGCTCCATGGTTGTGCCGCCGGCTGAAGCTCCGCCCCTCGGCCGGGTCCTGGCGTGGCGGACGAGCACCACGGCGGCGCAGACGATGTACACGGCGGTGAGGATGGCGAGGTAGATGAAGTACACCAGGAACTGCAACAGGAAATCAGAGGGTTAGCGCGGCGGGAAACTTCAGCCGCTTCAAGACAAAATGGCCGCTTCAGGAGCGGCCGGTTCCTCCCAGTTAGCATCAAACGTTCTCCGGAGAACATTGAACTTCAGCACACTTCCTGTTCCTCAGGGGAAATCACAAATAAAGCATGTATAATGTTAATTGCAAAAACTAATTCTTAAATGAGTAGCACTAAGCTAGCGCTGCGCAATACAGACGCACTAGCTAAGATGCTACAGACGTAGCGCTACGCAAGTGCGCTAGCTTAGCGCTAGCGTAGCGCTTACAAGCTAGCAAAAGTTTTGTTTAGACGTACATGTCTGTGGCGAGCACAGGTTGCGAGCTAGCTAACGCGACTTACGTAATTGATATATTGATAGACGTAATTTTTATTTTATTTATTGTTTATTTGATCGGGGCAGATACTAGAAACATGGATCAAAACAATCTAACGCCTGCATCACAGTGCACATAGCATCTTATTTATGTGCTTTAGACAAGGGTTAAAGCAGTCAGTCAAGACTGGCACATATTTAAATCAAAGTTTAAAAAAGTATTTCTGTCTACGGTAAATGTGTTTAAATACCAGTAGGTATATCATTTAAGCTCGTCTCACTCGTGAAACTGAGCGCGGGAGAGGGAGGGGGCTGTTCCCATTTACTCCCTCCCCTCCTCATTAGCGCTGGAGAAATCCCGTCATATTTATTTAAGAATAATTTAGAAAGTAAAGGTAGATTTAAAAACAACAGCTGATACCAAAACTGTTTAAGAGTAAAAATCAGTGGTTCTACCAGTGATTTAATATTTACCACATTTTATCTGTACTATGGTATTTCACTTCCTGTCACTGGACCCCGTTAAGACTTCTGGGTAATATTTCCCGGTGTATATAATTTTTAGTTATGTAGGTGTTTGATACTTGTACGGCCATTTTTAGTGTTTTATGTCCAGTGATTATGTTTACCAGTGGATATTTACCAGTATTGTGCTCATTTTAATGTTTGTTACCATGAGCCTGAAGCTTGAAGTATACCTGGGATGACCACTAACGTTCAGTGTACGTTAAAAACAAACCACAGTCTGTGTCGGCATCAAGTGGCTGAACTTTGTACCACACCAAGTAAAGGACAGACGAAGCTGAGCACTAACATTCACTGTACAGTGAATACCTGCGGCTTAAAAGATGAACAGCAAAAACTCATCAAAATGATAAAAAAATAATGTTTTTAAAACTACTGCATTTAAACAATTAGAATATTTAAAAATGAGTCCACTTCTGGTTCATCCTTAACGAGTTCTTCAGCCTAGAAGTGAATATTTTAATGTCAGTTATGGTTTTAAGATCAGATGGTAACGAGCTCCTAACAGAGAAGACCGCCTGTCCAGAAGTTGTCAATCGACATTTATATAATGATGTAATTTATATATTTATATAATGACATTATTGATATTTATATAATGATGTAATTGATATTTATATAATGATGTAATTTATATATTTATATAATGACATTATTGATATTTATATAATGATGTAATTGACATTTATATAATGATGTAATTTATATATTTATATAATGATTTAATTTATATATTTATATAATAACATTATTGAAGATATATATAATGACATTATTGATATTTATATAATGATGTAATTGATATATTTATGACATAATTGATATACTTACATAATGACAGGTATATTTATATAATGATTTAATTTATATATTTATATAATAACATTATTGATAGATACATATAATGACATTATTGATATTTATATAATGATGTAATTTATATATTTGACATAATTGATATATTTAAATAATGACAGATATATTTATAAAATGATGTAATTTATATATTTATGACATAATTGATATATTTAAATAATGACGGATATATTTATATAATGATTTAATTTATATATTTGACATAATTGATATATTTAAATAATGACTGATATATTTATATAATGATTTAATTTATATATTTATATAATAACATAATTGATATATTTAAATAATGACGGATATATTTATATAATGATTT